TTTCATCATATGCCAATGCATTTGGTCATTTAGTGTATCTTACACAAGTACTTAACCTTTCTATGGTTACATCATTTCATCACACACATCTTAGGTTCACTTATTTTTAATCATATTCTTGACTTATGGGTCTATACATACAAGTCTGAGGCTTCATTCATAGTTTGTTAAGTTACTCATAGCTTCCTAAGATTATGTAGTACAAGACTTATGTATCTAGTATGTATGCCAAAATTTTGATTTTGATCTAAGTAGGTGAAATTATTCTTTAACATTTAATTCACGTATTATTTATGTATCAATACGAAAATTTGGGGCAAGGGAACCCAAGCTCAAATCCCATGGACAACACTTACATTTTTCCTTGATTTTATTTTTAGTCCTCTTGACATTGGGATCCTAGATCGAACCCCAAAATCAACATTTCTTTTTAGTTCCTCTTTCTAGAACTTATCTCCTTTGGCCGAGGGTTTTGGGTTCGAACATCCACAACCCCCTTTTTATTTTGCTATCTATTTTCCTTGTCCATTTCGTCTTAACTAGGAAGTTGTGGGATCAAACCCCCACAACCTCTATTTTTTTCTTTGATTCGCATGGGACTTAGAGGTTGTGGGTTCGAACCTCCACAACCTTCTTATTTTTATTTTAATTTAAAAGTTTACTACTTAAGCGTTGGAAGTGAGGTTGTGGGATCGAGCCCCCACAACTTCACTTTATTTTCTATTTAATTTATCTCTTTGTGTCCTCCTTCATCCAAGAGGTGGTGGGTTCGAACCCCACTTCTCTCATTATTTTTATTAATTTAAAATTTCCCCCTTACTCTCTTGTTTTACCTAGAGGTTGTGGGTTCGAATCCTACCTCTCATTTGGTTTTCAGCCTCCATGTAATGAGGTCTTGGGTTCAATCCCCACTGACCTCACATGTTTTAAATATACTTTTGAACCTCTCAGCCTCAAGTATTCTGGCCGAAAATTCCATCACCAAGTGCTGGAATTTTTTTAGCCTTTATTTAACAACATTCATACGTTCGTTTTAAGGTACTTTCACAGTTCGTTTAACCCATTCTTAGGTGTAGATTCATTGTTGTTTTAGATTAGATTTTTCCACTTACGATCAGCCACCTAACATTCATTTACATCAAAATTTACACACCTTATGAACAATAATTCTAATCATCAAAAAGTCATTTTAAGGATTCAAATGGAGAACAACAACAAACATTTTACACATTGCACCACATCATTTTCGGTTAACATCATTGAACATGCTTACTATTTCCAAACATAAAATCATAAGGAACATCATATTTCACACTTACATACCAGTAATTATACCAAAAACATGATTTCTAAACTATTTTAGATTGAAATTGGAAGGAGACTAGGGACAAGGAGTTCAAGAATGAAGGGGACAACCCTAGTTTTATACATAGAATTTTGTAGAAAGAGATTTCTCTTGGAGAAAGGATTACAATAGAGAAAACCCATACCTGTTCTTAGTGTTGTTCAACACTCAAAGTTTCTGCGCATAATCACCACCAAACCCAATGTACAACACAGAAACTCCCACCTTACCTGTCGAGAAGATGATGCAAAGTTTTCGTTTCTTAAGTTCGCTTGCTTGCTTGTATATTTTTTTGTTTGTAACTTCTTTGAGTGTAGAGAAATTTTGATTGTCTTATGATGTTTTTATATTTTGTTTTTTCAGCCAAGAAAAAACAATTTAGACGAGAGAGAGAGATTAAGGCGTGAGAGATAGTGCCTCTTAAAACTAGGATAGTTGGCAAGACTTAGTCAATTTTAAAAAAATTAATAAATAAATAAATAAATAATAATTAATAATAAAATCTTATTTCCTTTTTAAATCATCCATATATTATTAAGTCGTTAAATTAATTCACTAATGACAAAAATCACATTAAATCATTGCTCCCACTTAGGTTCGAACTTGCATGGAGGAAGACTTCATTTCAAGGGCTCAATTTCGGCCCTCTCTCCCCACATTACCCCTCCACTTTATTAATTAAATAATTAATTACATATTTAGGGTAATTACAATACTACCCTTATCCAGGAAAATGACCATTTCACCCCTAGACTCTTCGAACCTAAGATTTCTTCTTTTTAAGTCCGATAAAGACTCCTTTGAGTAAATCTTCATATTCGAGAGGCCTACATAGTTGGACCCAATCTTTCCAAGATCAACTGACTTCCCAAGTTAGTTGTCTTGGCTGTAGCAAGGGTTCCGAGCTCTGGTTTTACGCGCATCCGTCTTTGTGAACCCTGGTCTAATCGTAGGCATTCTTGACACATTAAGCATTTCTTACCTTATTCATATTTAGGGTTGTTACAAATGCTTATCCCAATTTCCCTTGAAATCAATAATATAAGCCCTAACATATCTTTAAGGGTTTGAATAGTACGCTCCGCTTGACCATCCATTTGGGGATGAAAAGTGGTGCTTAGGTTCATTTTAGTACATAAACCTCCTTTGAATGACCTTCAAAACCTAGATGTGAATTGTGCACCTTGTCTGATATGATGGATAAGGAATACCATGGCGACACACAATCTCATCTATGAAGATCCTTCCATAATCTTCTGTCGAATAAGTAGACTTGACGGAAATAAAATGAGCGGACTTGGTCACGCTATCCCCAACCACCTATATAGACTCATATTGCCTTTGAGTCAGAGCAAAACGTACTATAAAAATCCATATTGATGTCTTCCCACTTCCAAGTAGGAATTTGAATTTCTTGTAGTAAGCCACCAAACTTTTGGTGTTCGGCTTTCACTTGTTGGCAATTTGGACACTTAGAAACAAACTCCGCTATGTCCTTCTCAAACCTTCCCATTAAAATACTTTCCTAAGGTCATGTTACATTTTTGTCGAACCTAGATGAATGGAGTAACGGGATCCATGGGCTTCCTCAAGAATCCAGTTCCTTAACCCATCTATATTGGGAACACACAATCTTCCTTGATACCTCAAGACACCATCCCCCCTACGGAGAGACTGACTAATTAAGCTTACCAAGAAACTGATTCCTTCAACTCCATCAATGGTTTATCAAAGTGTTGATTGGATTTCACCTCAATTACCAAAGATGACTCGGAGTTATGATGGACTATAAAACCACGATTCGGAGAATCTTCTAACCTCACACCCAATCTAGCCGACCTATGAACATCTCTAACTAGGTCTTTCCGGGCTTTCTCAGTATGAGACACAATGCCCATGGTCATACTACTTAGAGCATCAACAACCACGTTGGCCTTGCGTGGTGATAGAGAACACTCATGTCATTTAAAAAATTCTAAGCACCTTTTTTTTCGGAGGTTCAACTCCTTTTGGGTAAAAACATAGTGGAGACTCTTATGGTCCGTATATACATCAACATGGACACCATACAAGTAAAACCTCCATATTTTCAAGGCAAATACCATGGCCGCTAATTAAATATAATGAGTTGGATAGTTTCTCTCATGCACTTTAAGTTTCCTAGAAGCATAGGCTATCACTTTCCCATGTTTCATAAGCACACACCCTAAACCTACTCGGGATGCATCACAATACACAACAAAACCCTTTGTACCCTCCGATAAAGTCAACACTGGAGCAAAAGTAAGCCTATTTTTCAAAATTTTGAAACTTATCTCACATGCCTCCGACCACTCAAATTACTTACTCTTTTGGGTGAAAGTAGTCAAGGGAGATGCAAAGGACACAAAACCATCCACAAACCTCAGATAATAACCTGCTAGACCCAAGAAACTCCTAATGTTGGTAGAAGTTAATGGTCTAGACAAATTTTTTGCCGCCTCCATTTTTCGTTGGGTTAACCTCAACTCCATCACTAGAGATGATATGACCAAGAAATGCCACCTACCTCAACTAAAAATCACATTTGCTATATTTGGAAAACAATTAATTCTCCTTAAGAACTTGTAACACCACCTTCTAATGGTTCGTGTAGTCACCCTCATTTTTTGAATGTATCAAAATGTCGTCAATGATGACAATGAAAAGTAAATATATGTAACTTCAAATCACCCTATTCATGAGATCAATAAATGTTGTCGGGGCATTTGTGAGACCAAAGAACATTTCTAAGAACTCATATGACCATATCTAGTCCGAAACACCGTCTTTGGTAGATCTACAACACTCACCCTAAGTTGGTGATACCATGATCTCAAATCAATCTTAGAAAAGTTGCTTCCCCTTGGAGTTGATCAAACAAGTCGTCAATCCGAGGGATAGGATACTTGTTATTAATAGTGACTTTATTGAGTTAGCGGTAATCAATACATATCTTAAGGGCCTCATCCTTATTCTTCACAAACAAAATCAGAGCATCTAAGGGAGAAATACTAGGTCTAATGAAGCCTTTGTCTAGTAGATCTTTGAGTTGAGCCTTCAAATCTTTCAGTTCAGTCGGATCCATCCGATAATGAGGAATTGAAATGGGGTTTTTATCCGGTAACAAGTTGATACAAAAATTCAATTTCTCATCCAGGAGAAATATCAGGAAGATAATTAGGAAAAACCTCCGGAAATTCCCTCACTACGGGGACCGACTCAATGGGAGGAATTTCGAAGTTTAAATCTTGGACTCTTACTTATGATATAAACACCCTTTAGAGATCATTTTGCATGCTTTCAAACAAGAGATGATATGAACTCTAGAAATATAATTTCTCCCCTTCTACTTTAAAATGGGCTCATTGGAAAGTTAAACTTTCACCACCCTCGTTCTACAATCTATAGTGGCAAAGCAACCATGCAATCAATCTATACCCAAAATGACATCAAAATCAAGCATATAAAGTTCTACTAATTCAACATAAGATACCCTATTAGGCAACATTATACGACACTTTTTATATACCCTTTTTGCAACAACCAACTCACCAACTGGGGTAGACACTACAAAAGGTTCATGCAAAATATCGGGCATTATGTCAAACTTTTTAGCTACTAGAGGACTAACAAATTATAAGGTAGCACTGGGATGAAGTAAGGCATATACATCAATAAATAAGACTTCCAACATACTCGTCACCATGTCGGGATACGTCTCTAGCTCACCCCTAGAGCGGAGATAATAGAAGTGGTTCTTCTTCGGATCCTCATTTAGACCACTTGCTTGAGCTTGAACACTACCCTTGTCTTGACCCCTTACATTAGGGCAATCCCTAACATTGTACCCATTTTTACCACAACCAACAGAATTATCCGTTCCCTTAAGATAATCACCATAGTTCTTCACACACTTCCCAAAAGTTGGCTTCTTGGTTAGTGAACTAACATACCTTCCCTTAGACTTAGGGTTAGATACCCTATCATTTATAGCCTTAGGGAATTTGGAAGGAACTTGATTAGAAACCCTCTTTTTGAATCTAGGCTTGTCTTGAATCTCAAGCCTTTCTTTTGAAGAACTACCATCAAATGATCTTGCCCTCTTGGCATCTCTACTCTTCCTCTTAGACCTTGTCTCTTCCACATGTTGAGTATTAACCATGAGACAATAAATGTTCATGTTGTTGTGTAGCATATCCCGATGTCACTCCTTTTGCAAATCATTCGACACCCCAATCACAAAATGAGTTATTTCATCCCAAGGATCGAAAACCAAAAAATCAGCATATTTGACAACTTAGTGAATTTAAAGGAGTATTCAAACACACTCATACATCCTTGAAGAAGGTTGATGAACTCCACCACTTTCGCTTTCCTCTTCTCCCTAGGAAAGATCTGATCAAGAAAATCCTTCTTGAAAACCTCCCAAGTCACCGGTCTACCCCTTGACGGCCTGTTGTCCCTTCATTGGACATTCCAAGTTTGGGCTATATTTTTGAGTTGGTAAGTGGCTAGCTCGTCCTTTTTCAGTAGTGGATGACCCCATACGATAGAGAATCTTGTAGATTCAATCAGTGAACACTTGGGGGTCTTCTGCAACCTTGGACCCTAGAAAGTAGAAAGATTCATCCTAGTGAAGTCCCTTAGACGAGAGGTCATGGTAGCAACTTGTTGGTGTGCTCGATTAGCTTTCACCGTCACTGCTTGGGCTTGAGTAGTAGCAGATTGTGCTTGGGTAGTAATGTCTTGGACTGTTACGAAAAGAACCACCCATATGTTCTCATCCGTCAAAGGGGGAGAATTGACCTGGTCTTGGTCATCATTCACATCTTCCTCAAGAGGAGGAACATAATCACCCGGGGAGGAACTCCCGCATTGGTAATCTCTTATTCAAGTCTTCGTGCCACATTTTTTCAAGTATTCTTTTCCGATAATCACAATAAGATGATTAGATGCAACAGAACACAATAAGTACACTCTAGTTGCACGATATTGGCTTTCCAAGAAAGTGAGACTTTCCTAAGCATCATATATATTCCTATTCATAAGTGTGGCGCGCTTCACAATTATGAATAAAAGCCTACGTAGACATGGTTTTACAGAGACATCGACTTAAAGATATTCAACCTCATGCTATGATACTAAGTTTGTCACATCAGAAAAAAACCCTAGACGTAACCGGCGTCGTAGTCATCTTTGAGGACTAAGACTACTGTCTTAGCTTACATCATTACATTCGTAGGTAAAATTTAGTAGAAAATTTAAAACTTTTCATTGCTTCTAATCGGAGGTTTACATAAACCTCTACATACACATAGTATATATATATATATCGAGTATACATAGACTCTTCGTCTTGAAAAATTACTTTGTCTTCTACTTTTATTGCACATATATATATAGAATATAACATAGTCTAGTAACTCTATCATCAAGTCATAATATTAACAAGAATCAAGAAGAGGTCAACATAACATAACCTAAGCAAGACAATTACCCATGAACCCCTATCAAGTCAACAAGTGCAATGATCAAGCAAAGCCCCATAACCTTACTCAATCAAGTAAGCCAACAAGAATTATTACCAACATCCTACTTCACATAGTATAGCATTTAAGATTTCATATCTTTTTACTTTAACAATGTAGACCAACACATATTCATAAGTGAAACTAATCAATGTATAGCATCAACAATGTGCAGGTTTATCATATACATGTCTTATATCATCATAAAAGTATTCATACATAAGAACATCCTACTAAGACTCCCCTCAAGGCTGACTAGTGAAATGTTTAGGTAGAGTCCCATATGCCTGCCTAAACTAAGCTAGACCCCTTAGGTTATCTTACTTGGAGTTCATTATTTAAGTTCATTTTAACTTTTGGGAACATCTTGTCCTAACTAACATAGACCACATAAGCTAAGGTGGAATCTGATGTAATAGAACCCAACACCGAAAGAAGGCGGACTACTTTCCAAGGTAGTACAAAATTATGAACTTAGAAACTACATGGATTCTCTAGCTAGTATTCCTATGGGGGCAACAAAGTTCAATAACTAGGAGATATGGTTGGGACCCTCTTTATGCTACATGCATTGTAGTTTCAATCTGAAGAGTACATTAGTGATCCTACCTTCCCTATGTGAGAAGGGACAATCCTCACTCCATTTCACTCGTTGCTAAGTTAGAGTCCTATTGAAATGTCTTTAATATCTTTATTTAATCATCATAGTGTTGTAGGTCATAGGGTCTAACCCTTCTATAAACATCATCATCGTCATATACAACATCATAACTTAATCACAATTAACCATAATTTGAAGCAAAGGATAGGGATCATAATACTTACCAATTCTCCTTCATAACTCATCATTAAGGTCTTACCATCAACCCTTAATCAAACCAATTAGGGTATAATATCATCATAATGCAATATTCTACATGATAAAAATTCTAGAAAAATCACCACATCACAATTCAATACTAGATCATAGCTTAAGACAAAATACTTAGGTCTAACTTACTATATACTTTATAACCTAGATCACTTCTCAAGAACTAGAATGAAAGGAATATAAATCACCCTAATTAATTTATTAATAGCGTAAGAACATCATCTAGTAGTAATTCAACCAATAACCAAGTCAATTGAACCAATATAACCTAATTCGTATCAAGATCATAACCTAGGGTTAAGGGGTAAATGTCATGTTCTACAAACAAGACCATACCATAAGGATATATCATAATTAAGGTAGAATAAATGTTAATTTATTAATAATATCCAAATAAATCATAAGCAAATCAATTCATAACATCAATTTCGAGATTGGATGAAACTCACTTGAAATGTCAACTTTAGAAATCAATTTGATGGAACTGTTTGAGGAAAGAGGTCTCAAAGGTGAATTAGATCCCATACCTTACTAATTGATGAATATTTATGGTGAATTGACTCTTTCAATCCCTTAAATATCCCATAGATTGGTCTTCAAAAGATTTCTTTACTAGAGAGAGAAAAAAGAGAAAAGGAAGAAAGTTTGGGTTTATGGGTTATGAGAGTTTAATTAGTCTTGATTAGGTTAGGACTTTATATAGGGTGTTTAAATAATTTAATTAGATCTCCATAATACCCCAACTAATTAACTAATAATTTAATTAATTAAATGGAACTAACTTAAAACGTGCAGAAACCTTAGCCCTCACTAACGATACCTCGACAAATGGACAATCTATGAGTCGACGACCCCTATCCCTTCTGTGTTGCACATCCGTAGGTAAGTTCAGAGACTAATCCAAATGTACCATTTTCCATAATTTCTAAGTGTTGTTCGACAGATGGCATCGACGCCCCATCGATCCACACACGTTCCATCAAGTCCCCTAGTTGGTACACACTGCCCCAGAAGTGCTTTTGACCCTAAAATGAAAGGGTCCTCCTCAAGGGACCTTGGTTGGTCCTTGGAGAGTCGTACCCAGACATTTAGAGTATGAACCAACTTAAACACATGTGAGACACACTTCTACCAAATTTCATGAATTTCCAACTCCTAAAACCTAGTCAAATAGGCTAAGGCACACTAATACCTCCTTGAACTAGTTTCCGGACGTCATGGACGTTTTTGTTTCTAGACTTTCTAAATGACTTATATACATTAAATTTTACTTTAAAACAGTATTTAAACCTTATGATACTTATGTAAGGCTATAGATCACATCTTTAATTTTTGAAGTGTAACATTATCCCCCCTCCCTTAGGAACATTCGTCCTCGAATGACACTAAAAATCTTTTGAAAGAAGTAATAGACTCAAGACTAGAATCACAACCAACAACAATACATAACAACATTAGTTAAAACACCAATCATATCATTTACATAAGGAAGTTCAAAATTTTCAATTTCCACACATAAGGCTCAACAATACATTATGAGGAATATCCTTCTCACAAGAACAAGAGCTCAACATAACATTTATGAGTCAACTATGCCAAAGTTCAACTTACCAACAAGCTACATATAATTTTATAAAGACCCACCATATCAAAATGCACAACATAACTCAAACAAGCAAAATTGCAAATTATGGGCATACTTTACTGTAATCACTGTAACAACATAAAAAAATGCACATTTTGGCAAAACTTCTCCAAAAATGAAGAAGTTTTAATTTTTAGTCATTATTTTCATTATTAGTAAGAATAACTAACCTTAGTTATCAAATAGATGAGGGTAACGGGACTTCATGTCGGCCTCGGCCTCCCATGTTGCATCCTAAATTAGGTGATTCTTTCATAACACCATTATGGAAACCACCTCATTGTTCCTTATTTTCTTTACTTGCCTACAAAGGATTTGAACCGGAACTTCCTCCTAAAAGAAAGTATCCTTCACACCAAGAACCTCAATAGGAAGGATAGTCTCGGGATCACCGATACCCTTCTTAAGCATGGAAACATGGAAAACTGTATGAATCGAAGCCATTTCACTAGGAAACCTTAATTCATAGGCTACCTTACAAACCCTTTGCAAGACATCATAGGGACCCACATAACGAGGACTAAACTTTCTTTTCTTTCCATATCTAACCACCCCTTTCATAGGCGAAATTTTCAAATACACCTTATCACCTTCTTCAAACTCCAAATCCCTTCTCCTATGATTGTCATAAGACTTTTGCCGACTATAGGCCATTTGTAGAGAGCACAGAAGCGGTTATTCTTCAAAGCCTCATTTGAACCACTTGCTTGAGCTTGACACTTATACTTGTCTTGAAACCTCACATTAGGGAAAACCCTATCCTTTTGCCCAATTTTACCACAACCAAAATAGTTATCTGTTCCCTTCAGACAATCACCATAGTGCTTCTTGCCATACTTTCCACAAGTTGGCTTCTTGGTTGGTGAAGTAGTGTACCTTAGCTTAGACTTAGGGTTAGACACCCTGTCATCCCTAGCCTTAGGGAATTTTGAAGGAAGTCGATTACAAACCCTCTTTTCGAACCTAGTCTTGTTTTGAATCTCAAGCCTTTCCTTTCAAGATAACCATCAAATGATCTTGCCCTTTTGGCATCTCTACTCTTCCTATTAGACCTTGTCTCTTCCACATTTCGAGTATGAACATGGGATGAGAAATGCTCATATTGTTGTGTATCATAG